GAGAGGCGGTCCGTTTTGGCCTGAAAATTTGAGAGGCGGTCCGTTTTGGGCTGAAAATTCGAGAGACGACCTGGGCGGACAAGCCTCTGCTTCGAGAGGTGGTCCGTTTTGGGCTGAAAATTCGACAGGCGGTCCATTTTGGGCTGAAAATTTGAGAGGCGGCCTGGGCGGACAAGCCTCTGCTTCGAGAGGCGGTCGGTTTTGGGCTGAAAATTTGAGAGGCGGCCTGGCCGGACAAGCCTCTGCTTCGAGAAGCGGTCCGTTTTGGGCTGAAAATTGGAGAGGCGGCCTGGGCGAACAAGCCTCTGCTGCCACTCTTTGGCCCTCGCCACACTACTTCCGAGGCGTTGCCACAAGAGCTCCCGAATTTGATCTGTCAGATTGAATTTGGGAGCTGTCAGATGTGGCTCCCGAGAGCACTCCCGCAACCGCAGCCTGCAAAGCTGCATTTTCAGAAGAGCTCCTTCGGATCTCCGGGTTTCATCCCAGATTCGCGAGTGGAGCTCAAAGGGACAAACAGACTTTTGTCAGACTGGTTCACACTGAATGCTGAACGTGCCCCCAATTGTGGCAACTGTCATTTTCAAACTTGGGAGGGCGGGCCGTTTGAGAGTGCAGTGTGGCCAAAGGGGCACTCTTGAATGGGATTTCCTGTTCCGGAGCACTCCCACAATTTTATCGAACTCCGGAGCCGTGTGGCAAGGCCCAATGTATACTCCACTACAACGTGGCAAGATACAACGGCCACAGTTACAGTCTTGCCCCGAACACAACGCACCCTCATTTTGACCGTATCGGGCAGGAAACATGCCTTGCATACGTTCATTTTCAGGGTGGGTTATGTTCAGGGGAAAACGGTAGTGGTTTTCACATTTGGTGAGTGCCTCGGCAACGGTCAACATCCAGCTACTAGCAGCCCAAAGGAAACAAGGGAAATTGTTGAAATGCCCCTAAAAGTTTGGGTATTTCGTCATATACCCATAAAACATAGGGGTACGGTGAAATGGCCCAAACTTCTGCATCTGCCCGCGTCCCGCTCATTGGCAACTTCACCGTATGCCCTGGCCCTGGGCTGCAGGGGGGCCGTGCATTTCTTTCGYCGTCTGCARGGTSCAACGGCCTAAAATACCAGGGCATAGAGACAAGTAGCCCAGGGCCCGGTAGGGATCTATGCAAAAGATGACAGGTCCAATTGGCAAGTGGGGTATTTCGCAAAGTTTAACAACTGTCATAGGGGCATTTCGCCATACCCATGCCTTTTAGGGGTGCCTGAACAAATACCCGAATTTTCAGGGGCATTTCAACAATTTTCCCAAGAAACAAAATGTCAACTTTTTTAGACCCAAAAAAAAAAACAGACACAAAACTATATCAACCATGGCCAAGTCAACGGGTGTAACAGTTAGAGATCCAGCGACCCAGCTCAGTTGGTAAGGCACACAAATGGCCTTCAGGAGGTCTTGGGTCCAATCCCCATTGCCCTCATGTACCTTCCTGACCTTCCTGGCCATGTGCTTGGCTCCCACGACCTAGAGATAGCCCGTTGTTTGTAACTAGTTCATGAAGCACAAGCACATGAAAAATGACAGAAGACAGACTAGATGCATCCTCAAGACGAATGCAAAACAGACAGTATCCCGACAAGACCATAAGGGCAAACAAGAAGCGAGAAAGGAGAAAAGGAGAAAGGAAGAAGAAACCAATGGGACTAGCTCAGTTGGTACACCCAATGAACCTGGTTTGAAATACAGACCTCAGTTCCAATCCAGATGCAATCACATGAACAGAATCAGCGAATTCTGAATTACCTGGGGCCGGTCAGAACAAAGATGATATCTCAAGGTCGTCGTCCTTTATTATAAATCAAGTGGAGCTGCCGCAGCTATGCTGTGCCGAAGGACGATGACAAAAACATTTTGCGAAACACACCCGCCATCAGTTGGATCCCATCTCTGCAATGTACCCCAACCGGACGCTACCCAACTTTGCAAAATGCCCGGGCAGTTGCCAGGTTTCCGTAGGTGCAATTGCAAAAGACCAGCGAATTTGCACACCTGCCTGACAGGGGCATAACACAAACAGTTCAGCCCAAAAGGTCATTCCACTGTGCCCATATCTTTTACGGACATTTTGACATATATCTCAACTTATGTGGGTATTTGGCAAATTACCCTTAGAAAAAAACACTAAAAACACACTCATTGC